AATTTGACATTCTTTATGAAAAAACTTCCAGCAAAGCAACTATAATATGATCTATATGTAAATTGCACTCTTGCTGCACTTATGCAAATAACAAGGCCAAATCTCATAAGACCAACTTTAATTTGTGATCAAGAATAATCTTTCTTTGAGATTGTACTTGATCAAAAGGGGAGGAGTAACTGTAGAAAGAAAACTTGTGTTTCCGTGGGAAATCACAGCACATCTTTCTGGATTATCAGATTCTGAATCTGTTGTTATTTGCATAGGTGCAGCAAGAGTGCAATTTACAGATTCCATATAGTTGCTTTGCTGGAAGTTTTTTCATAAATAGTGTCACCTGGACTTTTCAAAGCCTCTGAGATAAGAAGCCAAGCCAACAACCTACATCACATTATGCAGTACCTATCGAACATTTGGCAGGCATTCCTTTTCTTCATGAGATCCTACAAATATCCTAAGAGATTCCAGAGCCATGCAGTACCTATCGATTTGGCAGGCATTCCTTTCTTCATGAGATCTTACAAATATCCTAAGATTCCAGAGCCTGCTGGGAAGTGATATTCCTTGCTCACCTACAAAGCTGTGAACCCTGCAAAACCAGGTTTCAAGCCAGTTTTCACAAGAGGAGTTTTGTAAGCATCGGCCCCATAAGGTCAACCTTAGTTCCTAAAAGGGTCTGGTCATATCTGATCAAATAAACGTCATTCTCAAATGTGACATCTGCTGGTGAAGTGATATTCCTTGCTCATCTACAAAGCTGCGAACCCTGCAAAACCAGGTTTCAAGCCAGTTTCACAAGAGCTTGCAAGCATCGGCCCTATAAGGTCAACCTTAGTTCCTAAAAGTGTCTTGGTCATATCTGATCAAATAAACGTCATTCTCAATGTGACATCCAGGCAAAAGCCTTGCTGTATTACCAATGTTTTTGTGCCTGTTAATAAAGAGGACAGACTCTTACTGAATCTATGCAAATAACCATATTGCCATGAAGATTCAATGAGAGTTTCCAAATTTTGATTGGATGAGTCAGGGAAGAAAAGAAAGAAGTTTCATTTCTGTTTACAAGAAATTAGCATAGTTTATAAAATTGTTTGAGTGATAGCTTAAGAGAAAAAGAAAAGAAATTGTTATTTCCAGAAAATAGAACAATAAAACATCAACAATATTTCAAATAAAAATCATAACCATCTGCTCGTTCAGTTCTATAAAATTAACTTTTCTTCCACCTGATCTTGTGTTACTTGTTTCACGAATGCATCCGCTTCTCAATTAGAAGTCTGCAACTCCTGACTCAGTCCAATGGTATGGTTTCATAGTCATTTGAACAATGCCATCAGAAATCTGTTCCCCAGAGTGTATGGCATGATCCTTTTCCACCAGACTCTAAGATTGTTCTTTTTTGCTGAAGATAGAAAACCTTAGCCTATAATTGATTGCAAAGATTTTATGGAAACATCAGTGTAAAACAGAACAAACAAAACTATCAGTAGATGACAAAAGTCTAAAAATGGCTATCATGTACATATTATTGATAATTTTCTTTATTTTCTTTCTTTCTTTCTTTCTTTCTTTCTTTCTTTATTTTGAGACAGAATCTTGCTCTATCGCCCAGGCTGGAGTGCAGTGGCGCGATCTCAGCTCACTGCAAGCTCCGCCTCCTGGGTTCACGCCATTCTCCTGCCTCAGCCTCCCGAGTAGCTGGGACTACAGGCGCCTGCCACCAGGCCCGGCTAAGTTTTTGTATTTTTAATAGAGACGACGTTTCATGGTGTTAGCCAGGATGGTCTCAATCTCCTGACCTCGTGATCCGCCCACCTCAGCCTCCCAAAGTGCTGGGATTACAGGCGTGAGCCACCGCGCCCGGCCTATTGATAATTTTCAAAAGTGAATAATCTGAATAGAGTTCATTATAAGAATAACACAATTGACAAACACATCTGGTTGTTTCTGTTGTACAAAATAAAATAAATTCAATCCAAAAAACATTTTAGACAAAATATCTATAAATACAACGTATTAGCAATATTTTCAAAGAGGTTATATCTAATTTATAAAAATGCTTATATATAACCTTACAAAGAAAACATTTTCATATATAACATAAAAATCCTGAAACATTAGATGCCGCAAATACCTAGCACTTCATTAGAATTTACTAAAAATACATCAGTTATCAAGTAGAGTCAGTAAATCTGAAGTCGATTCTGAACATTAGAGTATTAATAAAAATGCAAAGATAAGTGAAGTGAATCCCCAGTGTAAAACTACCAGCCTAGCATATATTGGTTCCAAATAAAAGAAGTAAAGTTTTAACCAAGTTACATTTTGGAAATATAATGAATTATGACTGATAACACTATACTGTTTTTATCTAACATCAAGCAAAGCAACACCAGGAGTCCAATAAATAGAAATATATCATGGACAGTGAAAACATTAACAATTCTGGGGTTTGTGTTGTCATCTCTTACAGCATTTCCTATTTCCCTGGCAATCCTCAGAACTCAGACAGGAGGGTGGCCCCATCAGTGCATGTTGAAGGGTGAAGGCCTGGTACAGAGAATTATCCATTTCAAGCAGAAGGAAAATAGACAAGTTGTGGTGTTGGGACACATTACAGGATTGCCTGAAGGACAGCAGATTCCATGTTCATCAGTTTGCAAATAATATACAAGGCGGTACCAGTGCCGGTCCTCACTTTAATCCTCTATCTCCAAAACATGGTGGACCAAAGGATCAAGAGAGGCATGTTGAACACCTGGGCAATGTGACTGCTGGAAAAGATGGTGCGACAATGTGTCTATTGAACATTCTGTGATCTCACTGTCAGGAGGCCATTCCATCATCGGCCACACAATGGTGGTCCATGAAAAACCAGATGACTTGGGCAAAGATGGGAATGAAGAAAGTACAAAGATGGGAAAAGCTGAAAGTTATTTGGCTTGTAGTGTACTTGGGAATTCCCAGTAAACGTTCCCTTGGATGAGGTCTGAGTGCCAGTAACACATTTGTTATCCTGCTAGCTGTAGAAATGTAACTTGATAAACATTTAACACTGTAATCTTAAAAGTGTAAAGAAAAAAAAAAAAACACACATTCACAATTCTCCAGAAACTTCTTATGTAGAATACAGTTTTAAACGTGTTTATGCTAATAACAGTTTACCCATACAGATTTAACCTGTGCAAATCTGAGCATCTCTTCTGATTGGACAATACTTCCTAGACGTCTTGTCAATGATAACATATCAAATAATCCTAACTATTTCCAACTCTCGTCTTTTCCTACAGTAAAAGAACACATCTTTGCAACTTTCAGAGGTCTTCTGGGAAATCTCAAGGGCAATTTTGGGCACTGAGGAGGCTAAGAAAACTGTGCTTGACTGTTAGCCAAAACAACTTTTGGCTGTTTTGCACAGGACTAACAGGCCCTCTGCTTTATGTGAATTTCTCACTTTAACTTGTTTGCTCCATTTTGGGTGCAGACCCAGCCCCATGTGCCTGACCACAAACCAACATTTCCTGTCTCAATTCTCCTATTCATATAATGTTTGAGGATGTTTGTTAAGTTTTAAGAATTCCCTCCCCTCCCCCCAGATTTTCACAGGGTTTTGTTAATTTCCCCTCAACTTCCCACAGGTATCTTAAAAAACTTTGCTCACTCATCCCTTCTCTGAATTAGGATTTGAGCATCTTTCTGTTATGCTGTTGCCCCACTCTTATTGCAATACTCTCCTTCTTCAGAAAGTTTTTCTAGACTAATGTCCACATTAAGCTTCTTTTCTTTGACAATAATGATGCCACGACTTGGACAAAATGCCCATTGTCCCTGGCTCCTACTTTCTTCACCCAGTGCTGCCTTATTGGACTCCTTGTGCCTCTCCGTGACTGGGGAAATCAGGATCCACAGTGGTAAGTCATGATTTCTAATCCAGTGTTCCAGACATCTGTCTGTTGTAGCACAGTGAAAAGTTGACTTATATTTCTCTCATTTTTGTCATTTTCTTCTGTTTTTCTATCTTTCCCTTCTGCCTTTTTTGAGTGTGGTGAAAGCCCCTCATTCTCTCCTGAGAATCATACCTGAGTTGAAATCCCAAGGCCTCTAGCACTGGCAGGTGTCCCTTCCATTTTCATGAGAAACTGTCAATTTGGCTATTGCTTTCCAGACCCCTCAACTGTGGGGTATGCTCTGTGTTACTATGGTAATAATTCCACCCACTTTCTTCAGGAAAAAAAAATGGTAATATTTTACAACTTAAATTTCAATGGCCTCTTTGGAGAATGTAGAATTTTTCTAAATTGTCTCATTCTGCAAAGGGTTATTGAATCCTGCACCACCAAGATCTCATCGAAGCAATAGATGCTTTGTTGGTGGTGGTGGGCATTTGGTACAAAGAGGCAGAAAAAAAAAATGCTCTCTCTCAAAAACTTTTCGGCGACCATTGCTTCTTTCAAAGACAGTCTTCCTTCCCCAACACCTCCTGTGACCTGTGTCTTCCATCACCTATCCCCCAGTCTCTCTTTTCTACCATCTTCCATGTTCCCTTCAGCTCCCTTTAATTCTTGGATCTTCCTCTTTCAACCCTCTATCTCTTCCACCTTTCCGTCCACTCCTGCCAGACCTTTCCTCTCCCACTCTGGCCCCTCAATTCCTTATAATCCCTTGAGCTTTAAGTCCTGTCCCTTCATAGGAGGCTCTAGAGGAGCCCAGGGGCACTGAGAGCAACAGCCTGAGGCTAAAAAGGCTCACTGGAAACAGGCTGAATGTTTTAATCACTCAGGTGGACTCTGAAGACACCAGATGACTGCTTGGTCTCTCCTCTATGCCTTCCTTAAAATTGAGTCCACAACTTCCCTAGAATTATACACCAGAGCCAAGGGTAGCTTATGGGTCTCCTGCACAAATATTGGTGAAGATGCTTCAGTTCTCATATTGAACATATTACTTCAACTTGCCCATCTACCAAAAATATTACCCTTATAAAAATATAAAGGCGAGGCAATGATGATACTTTGTTACTTTGTTTGTTTTTTGAGATGGAGTCTCGCTGTGTCACCAGGCTGGTGTACAGTGGCATGATCTCGGCTCACTGCAATCTCCACCTCCCAGGTTCAAGTGATTCTCCTGTCGCAGCCTCCAAAGTAGCTGGGATCACAAGTGCATGCCACCATACCCAGCTAATTTTTGTATTTTTAGTAGACAGTGTGTTTCACCATGTTGGCCAGGATGGTCTCGATCTTCTGACTTCATGATCTGACTGCCTTGGCCTCCCAAAGTGCTGAGATTACAGGCATGAGCCACTGTGCCCAGACAATACTCTGTTTTTTTATATGAATCAGTGAGTTTTGCATTTCTGTGATTATGCCTAAGTCATGGCTAAAATTTAAAAATTAAAGCTGTAAGTTGGCTATGTCTGCCTGTATGTTTATGTATGTGTGTTTGTGCATGTGCACATACATTTTGTTTATATAATATTTTCCTACCTCCAGATGGTATTACCACATTAAATTATAATACACCTTAAATAAGCTCGTTTTGGGTTGGCTTAGAGATGAATGAGAGTCTACATAAGTATTCTTGAACTTCCTTGAAATTAGGATAATCAAATTTCTAACATCGTCAGTGTGAAAAAAGTATTTTTATCAAAGCTTAACAAAATGTTTTAAAAAAATACAAGTTCACCAAATTTAGATAAACCTTTGGCCATTGAGAGTAGTTTGATATAATTGATTTAATAAATAAAGATAGCTATGTCTTCTGAGTTGTCCACATTATAAAAATGCATTTTTGTTCTACTTGAGTATTTTTTTCCTAAACTTATACAAATATACTGAATCTCTGTGCTTGATAATCTAAATGCATTCTTGGTATACTCTAACTGTATGTTTGATATATTCATGACATATTATGTCTCATGATTATCATGTATTTCTTTTATTTTTATTTTATTTTATTTTATTTTTTGAGATGGAGTCTCACTCTGTCGCCCAGGCTGGAGTGCAGTGGCACAATCTCACCTCACTGCAACCTCCACCTGCTAGGCTCAAGGGATTCTCCTGCTTCGGCCTCCCAAGTCGCTGGGACTACAGGCGACTGTAGAGACGGGGTTTTACCATGTTGTCCAGGCTAATCTCCAATTCTTGACCTTGTGCTTGAGATCCGCCTGCCTCGGCCTCCCAAAGTGCTGGGATTACAGGCATGAACCACTGCACCCAGTTGATCATGTTATATCTGAAAATGTTTTCTCTATAAAAATTATGCCTATCCACTTTCATAAATTTGATGTAATAGCCACCCTTTTTTGAAAATAAAATTAATTATTATGTTTACACATATTTTCTCTGAAACTTTCTGTGGCAACTTTAAGTGCCATAATGACAATTAAATTTTTCTGCCAATTGTATTATTTTTATAGCAAACTTTCATCAGATCTTTTACTTTCAAAAATTATCAAAAACATGTTAACCACGGCAATTTTAAGTCTTTTGTCATCTATGGAGGACTTAGTTTCAACAAGAAAGGACTGACTCAGAGATACATGGAAAAGGATTATGCTAGGTACTCTTGTGTAAAAGTTTCTAATTACATTGTTTAAATAACTTTGGGACCAAAACAATGAACTGAGTCAGGAATTCTAGAACTCTAGTTGAAAAAGAGATGGGTTCATAAGACTACTAATCTGTGATCAAGTGGGACAAGAACTAATTACTTAGGAGTGAATGAACTGATGATGGATAATTATGGGACAATTTTGGAATAGGGCTATTCCTTTAATGTACTATTTTCCTATTTTCTCTTTTTTCTTTTCTTTTCTTTTTTTTTTTTTTTTTGAGACAGAGTTTTGCTCCTGTTGCCCAGGCTGGAGTATAACGGCATGGTCTCGGCTCACTGAAACCTCTGCCTCCCAGCTTCAAGCAATTCTCCTGTCTCAGCCTCCCGAGTAGCTGGGATTACAGGGGAGTGCCACTACACCCGGCTGTTTTTGTTTTTTTAGTAGAGGCAGGGTTTCACCATATTGGTCAGGCTGGTCTCAATCTCTCGACCTCATGATCCACCTGCCTCGGCCTCCCGAAGTGCTGGGATAACAGATGTGAGCCACCACACCCGGCCTAATATTCTATTTTCTGGACATAAGAAAACCCCTTCTCTTTTTTTTAAAGCTATTCATCACTCACAACAATTTCATAGACTATGCTAATTTCTAGTAAACAGAAATGAAACTTCTTTCTTTTCTTCCCTGACTCACCCTTTCAAAATCTGGAAATTCTCATTGAGTCTTCTTATTTTCATGGCAATATGGTTATTTGCATAGATTC